CAATCAACTAAATTAATGAGTTAAAGACAGAAGATGGTGTATTGAGCGTTAAAAATTACTTTTAATTGCGTAATTACAAATCGATCACTTGTTACTTTTACTGGAATCAAAAGTCCATCAGTCGGCCATCAACATACAATTACTTTTATACACAGCCGACTACTGGTAAATTTAATTTATTTTCTTCTTGGATTTATATTCACTCCAAAGCAAAAAATATAAACTATTTACTATATAAATATCAACGAAATCAAAGAATCCTAATAAAACCAGTAATCGGCCGCTTCAGGCCGAGCACTGTATCAACCCTAAAAAATCGATATTCAGTAGTTAGCCCGCTGAATTATAATGTAGTAAACAAATAAAATATCCTTGACGCTTAATTAAATTACAATATAAACATTTTGTAATAATATGACATAAAATTTCCACCAGAATTCACAGAATCAGGCCTTCCATAAGGAAGGCCTGAGCCCTTGCAGTGGGGTCATAAAAGGGCTGATGATGATGATGATGATGACTTCCGCTAAAATCACAAATCATTTAAAAATGGGGCTTATGCCTCCCTTATAGATGGACCATAACCCTACACGCTGGCCCAATGCGGATTGGAGAATTTTAAAGATTAATAATACTCTCAATTAATCAAATAAGAAAACTCATGAAAAAACTTACCTTAATCATGAACGCGTATCCTTTTGAAAAAAAAATTAGACTGGTGACGCTTTCAGTCATGTCATTGGCGGTAGTGAATATAAATGAATACAGCTCATCGAAGGTATGCGAATTAATTAATAAGGGAACATAGATTCGAGCAGACGTCAATTCAATGGTATAAACCAAGTTCAACACTATTCATATGACTTTTAAACCTGTAAAGCCTACTACTGGTGCGGGGCCAACTTCTGGGTATTTTACACCAGAACAAGGAGCTAGTCTCTGTTCTGCTGTAGATATAAATTTTAACACACCTGAGTTGGGGTACTGTATGTTTTTTTTATATATTATGGTGCTTGTTCGTTCGACACATTTATGTGAGCAACAGTCGAGTTCAGTCACACCATTCTATTAGATTAGGTATTATACCTCGTTTCTTCATAAGTTTTAAGACAAACTTTTTACTGAAAAAATAAAATAAAATGTTACTGGTTGTTGTTATTTTTTGACCGATTTTGATTTTGGAATGTTAACAATTGGTTTATTTGTATCGCAAATTCATCTAAATATATATAACTCAAAGGTGACTGACTGACATAGTGATCTATCAACGCACAGCTCAAACCACTGGACGGAGCGGGCTGAAATTTGGCATACAGGTAGATTATTCTTAATACAAAATGCTTAAAAATCCACTTGGTCCCTCGCACCCTGAGATGGGAATCGACCTTTTGCAATCCGGGCGACTGCTCTAACCACTGAGCTACCCAGGACATAACAGGACTGACGAATCTTTCAAGCACTTGTTACTTCTCATCAATGTTCAGGCATCCACCCAAACAGCCGAAAGAAATATTATTACAAATATTGAAACTTTCGATAAAGATGAGAATTTTGTTCTAATTATTATATTTTGGTTAATTTTGCATACACAATGCCATACTGATAATTATTCTTAATACAAAATGCTTAAAAAATCTACTTGGTCTCTGGCACCCTGAGATGAGAACTTACAATAGTGCTGCTTTAATTACAGGTTGCTTTAATTGCAGTATCTATAGCAAGTAAACAGAGTAAACATAACCATTACATGATGTTTAGTATATTGAGAACCGAGTAGGTATTAAAAAAAAAACAGAGAACAATAATAGTAATAAAATTATAAGCATATCAGACCGAACAGATACAATTACAGAGTATCATTAGCACTAACAGCCGTCATGTCAAAGACTATAATAAAAAAAGGAAGAATATTTTATAAGAAGTTATAACTTTTTTTATAAGAAGAGTATAAAAAAGAAGAATATTTTGTACCTAAGTATGTAGTAATATGACATGTCAATATCATTGTGATGATCCATCGCGTGTAAAAATTGATTATAATGTATTTGTATTCTATTGATCGTCAAGAAGAATACAAGTACCAGTCCTTAAAATGGAACCTATAATGGAGAAGGGTTGAAAAAATATATATATAATCGACGGATATTTTGTATACTAGCTATACTGATTATGCATAATTGCATTGTTATAGTAACAAAAATGTATTTCGAATTTCAGCTCGATCTGAAACTGGGAAGTGGATTTAATTTAAATCAGATTTATCTCATGTTTTTAATGGCGTTCAATGAGTTTTATTTATAGAAACTAATTGAATTGTTTCGAGAATAATCTAGGAATCAAATTAGTTGACTAGATACGGATATGTGTGATAATTCAAAATAATTACATCAATTCACTCTACCGTAATAATAACCAATGAACCTAATATGAATATTGACTGAGAATTCAAATAATGAACGCATGGCGAAATTGCTTTCCACCCCCGGGCACCCTCCGTACTTAAGGCGCAAAGTACCGCAAACTTATTTCTTATTATTACGAATTACATACACACTATCTATTATTTTTCTTTTACTAACACTTACACTTACCTTTTATTCGCAAGAGTTCACATATCAAATAATACTAATGGTGCTGACACTCTTATTTTTCCACGAACAAAATTTGGAAAAATATCGAAACGTTCATATTCTTATATTAAAATATATTATTTTATGAAGATTACAATAGACAAGTAGCTCGGTGGCGTAGTGGATAAGCGCCGCGGCCCACCATCGTTGTCGTTAAGCAACTTTCGCAAGGGCCGGTCACGGGATGGGTGATTAAATATTATCTAGGCCTGAGCCCCTGCAGTGAGAACGTAAAAGGGCTGATGATGATGATGATGATGACTTCCGTTAAAATCACAAATCATTGAAAAATGGGGCTTATGCCTCCCTTATAGATGGAGCATAATCCTACACGCTGGCCCAATGCGGATTGGAGAATTTTAAAGATTAATAATACAGTCTGGATCAACGACTTAACGTGCCTACCGAATCACGGAGTAATTCGAGATAATAATTCTTAGCTACAGAAATCACGGGTCGCGGCTTAATCAGTTTAATTACTGCGCCACCCGCAATATTAAAAAAAAAGCTATATATATACTTTTTTTTCAAATCAAGCGCCCGTGTCTTACTCTCGATGCGTAAGGGGTCATCCATAAATTACGTCATACTTTAAGGAGGGGGGGGGGGGGGTATCGACGAACTGTGACATTAGAACAATATTTAGTAGAATTTGTATAGATAAACATATGACAGGAGGGGGGGTTAAAATCCTGAATTTTGTGTGACGTAATTTATGGACGGCCCCTAATTTTTACGTATTCGTATGGAAACGTAAGCAGAGGCACAAGAGAGCCTTAAACAAGCAAATGATGATGGCGTTAACAAAACCCGTAGCGATTTCTTTTGTAGCAGTCAGAATGATTTCAATCTTACTCGAGCTAGGGGTTTCCAATCTATGAACTCGATCCTTGCGAGACTAAACATTTCTTGGTATTTCATCATCAGCCCTTTTATGTCCCACTTAGGCTTTCCTTATGGTTAATGATGATGGCGTTAACAAAACCCGTAGCGATTTCTTTTGTATGGTTTAGGAGAATGTGCTATCACCCTCCACGCTGTCCTAATGCGGATTGGAGGGTATTAATGGCTACAAATGCAGCCAGAATGCAGAAAGACTTGACCTACCTTCCGAAGCACGAAGTAACTCGAGATAGTAATTTCTTGGCCATACCGTGACCGGCCCTTGCGATTACGATTACACTAGTCTTAATTTAATTTATATGCCATATCCCTTTCAGTGTAAGCAGAGAGGACCATATTGCTATAATTAAAGAAAAAAATATCTTTCATATTTTTTTAAATGACGTCATACATCCGCCACATTGGTTATTTTTACAGCCAGTGTCACTGGCCTAGTGACACGTAACGTTTTTAATGATACCCTACATGCATATCCGATCAGTTTTTCAAAAGTTATGGTGGTATAAAAATCACATACATCCATTAACCCTAAACACTCCTTTTTTGGGCAGTCATTAATTTTTCATGTCGATAGGAATAAGGAACCATCTTACGCGGAATACCTAAAATATGTTTTTACAATCTAATCGATAACCTCCTTTTTTAAATCTGCTAATAAAGCCGCACTGATTAAATGGACCGTCACCCTTAAAATACGCTCGTGGCTTTCACCTGTTCCAAAACAATGTTGATACCGACATACGTGTGTACCTGCTTTATATTCATGAATACGTCTGTTAAATCTACATTAATTTCATGGCCGGCGACTAGCAACGTTTACTTAGGATAACAGAAATTATTCAATACTGTATGTTTTTGTAGGCCAGAATGAAAGACTTTACTTTTGAGGTCAATAGTGTCACCGTAATAGGTATCAGGGGTATACTCTGGTCGGACATTATGGAAATAATGAAGATTTAGAAGCTGATCGAACTAATTGCGTCTTATCTAAGGGTTACACCGGCTAGCACATATGAAAATAGTAATGAACGTCAGCTAAATCTTCGTTACCTTACGTTGTTTTTGAGTGCTTTAGCTACTTCAGCGTGCACGCGTTAGTACGCAAAGTTCAGAAGCGGTTTATCTATACCAAACGTTACTTTTTTGACATTTGGGTGTAGAAAACACAAAGTAGCCAACCCCCCAAAGTTTAGAAAAAAACGTCATCGAAGTCGTCATGCTGGCCGCACACATTCGTTTTCCTGATGAGGAATTACGTTCGATCCGTTTTCAGTTCGGAAAACCTGACTTTCATATGAAAGCGCACATTCGGGTCTGAGAATCGGAAAAATATGTGTACGATCAAGCTATTCCGTTATTAAAACGAAAGACGTCTATAGAGACCATGCCTTGTGACACTGCTTACTTTACCTAATTCTGAAGCGATCCGACGTGAAGGTATATTTAAAGATTCCTTTTTGTCCACAGCCCGTGGCGGAGGAGCCTTTCCGATTTGCGATGGAGTTGGACGATCTACCGAAGGAAACACTGAAGAAGTACATATTCGAGGAAACGCTATTATTCAAGCAAACAAATGAAGGCGCGTAAATTTCTTCGGACAGTATAACACGACTACTGCGACGCGACTCGTGGATTGAGACGCGGTCTGCATGCAAAAACTGTGTTCTATCAATTAGTTGACAGAAAATTCAATACGCTAATGACTTATCGATGATCTTGATCGACCGTAACACAGTATAACCCAACAATCGTGTGTCATGAATCTTCGCACAAACCAGACCTACCAATAATAAGCCCTATTATAATAAACCATAAGGTGCAAAATACATCTCTAACACTCAAAAGGGGTAAATCGAGCTGACGCATCGCCCGTTGACGCGCTACTCGAATCATTCTGATCAGCCAGGTTAGCCATGGAAATCCTTCTGTCCAGGTAAATCAGCAAGCTATATTACTCCTGTCTTACTGTACATATTATCATCGATGAGGTCACTAGACTTATCATGAGTTACCCGCTATGATTATGAGTAAACATTCAGTATTTGTCGTGTTAAGGAAAATATTATATGTAGTAAATATGTTATCATAAGGAAATAGCTTGAGGAAATGTCGGAGTTTGCATGCAGACCGGTCGAAAGTCTCGGCCGTGGTTGATGGACGGTCAAACTTTTCGATATTCTGTTTTAAGTACGTAGTGGGTTAACCAAAAGTAATGTTAACCATGTATTTTTCTCTAGGTATTCGACGTTTCGAATAGTTAGTTTTCAACGAGATTTCTTACTTTATTGATGGAAAGAGCGTTTTTTATACATTAGTCTATTCGTTGTGATTTAATCGTCGAGCTGAACCCAATTCGCTTTGTTGTTACGTCGAGTTAACGAGCAACGCCCCGAAACTATAATCAAATGGACGGGTCGATACAGACGAATCGAAATGCAACAATATTGTGTTTTATTACGATGAGGTAGAACCTGGCATTTTTTTGTAAACCGAAAACAATACCGAATTGTTTGTCAGTCAATAATCAGTGGATTCATAAGGTTAAAGAGATGCTTATCATAATATTTTGCCGGAGAAGTATCAATGATTATATTGAATGGATCAATATGCAGTGAAATGAAACAGTATAAACATTGACTTGTAGTTTCATAGATAGGTCTTTTCTGAAATATATAAACGTTAAACATATATAATGTACACAGTTTCTATGTGATGAGATATTAGATGGTACTTTAGCTTTCGACATAATATCGCAGTTTTAATTGAATTTCAACCTTAATTCAATCAACATAAGCGTCATCCCATCGATTAAGGAAATTTGACAATTTGTGCTAGCCTAATGCTAATGCGGGTACACTACACTCATTTAATTCGAGGATTAAAATTCAAAACCTTATGAAATTAAGGAAATTCAATTAAGACTTTTGGCTTAGATCAAATATCGTTATTTAACAAAGTTTCTCGGAAACTCGTTAGCAAAATAACACTGAGTATGACGTCATTCGTTGATGAAGAGAAATCGTCGTCGACATCATATAAAACTTAGTCGGGGGAAGATGTAAATAATTTTTTGCATTTCGAATTAATGTATTTTGAAGTGTCACAGAATTAAAAGTCGGAGCACGTTAACTTAATTCATTAATTCTGATGTTATCTTATATAATATTAAAATATTTTCATTATTATACCCGTGCGATGAATGGGGCGCTCTCGTTGGAAATCTTGCGCTATTCTATTGTTTCTATGATATTAAAAAATAATAAATTGTTGTCTTCCTTGTATTTGCATGCTAGCGCACAAGACAATTTTTAGAATAGATGTTTCCTCATATCAGATATTTTAAAGGGACGTCGTCGGTTAAGCTGTTATGAAAATTGAGTTGTTTGTGCGATTTATGTATAGTAATGGCAAGTTTTTCAACGAGGTTCCGAGGCGGCTGTTAGATATCGGTATATGTGAATGCTTTTATGTTATTTTCACTCGGAACTGGATTATGGACAGGTGAGGGCACAGTTGCAAATGCCAATTGTACTAAACGTATGGTTAAGATGTTACCGCGATTAAAAATCAACTAACCTGTGTTAAACGGCGTCAGTGGAACTCTGAAATCAAAGCAAGTCAAAGCAGTGGCGTAAATTAAACCATAGTTTTTTCACAACTACTCACTCCAAGTGACAGTCAGCGTCAGCACAGACAGTTACTGTTCCGTATAAATCGGTCTACATAATGTATTCTCACATATACCTTTAGCTGTCACGGTCGCAAAGGGTAGGGCGTGGTTTAATTAGGAGAGTTGGTACTATCTGTTGTTGCTCTGTGTCTGTAAGATGTTGTTGACTCTCACATTTTTCAGTAGCATATCCAGTGTGAGTCGCGATATTAGGCGGCCACCGTCTATTGCTAATGTAAGATTCGAAAAAATTACGTTAAATGAACTTAGTTGACGAGCTTTTGATTTGGTTAATTTAAACAAAATTTTGCGTCAAAATTGAAGTGCTAACTATTATCTATTTTATTGTTTATACCCTATAACTATTATCTTTAGCCATGGTACCAATGAGGTTAGTGTCTTGATAGCCCAAAATAAATCTTAAGGTGGAACGTTATGGGTTAATTTGCCTTATCCACACCAAGCGCACCAACAAAAATTCAAGGCGCGAGTTATAAGAAATACAAGTTAGATAGTGTTTTTTTTTTATTTTTATTAAGGAGCAAATTAAGGTGTTTTGTTTCATTCTGGATCGCTGGAACGATTCGGAATGGTTCGATTGATGTAGATGCTAAACCTTGACTAGCCTTAAGGAAAGTTGCTTATCCTAATTATCGCTGACCGATATAGACCTATATACTGATTCCATCTAAAGGAATTCCTACGCTTCAACGGAAACGTTAATATGCTGATGATGAAAGCTTTATCCAATTCTTGCATATGCAGTCCCGCCAACCGAGTTCATTTAACATCATATAGGTACTAGTTAGATATTTGTTGAAAATATTAAAAAGAAGCATGTTATATAACTCAAACTGTAATGAAATTCTATTTCGTGATTTGTTTCAAATACAGGAATGTTATTAATATGAATGTATAGTATTACAAGTAAGAGCTGTCGTCATAACTAATGTTGTCATTGTATACTTAAGTAACTTGTGTCTCTTTTATAATTTCAACGTGTTGGATTTTTTTATGTAGTTCGCTGATACTTGTATGCTGGATAATTTTTAAATCAGTGTACAAATTTTAAAAAGCGGGAGAAAACGTATCTATAATTGACTAACATCAGAGATTAAAAAAAAAGATGTCTGCGAACGAGTTGTTAATTATGCTAGCGGGTCAATGACCGATTATTATCGATTTACCTTACATTTTGTCTACTGCTTCTACTGATATTATTAATATTGGAATATGAAAGTACATTTAAGAAAAAAATTTGCACACTGTTTTAAAACTTACCCTGTTTGCATGTTCCTTAATTATCCACAAAAATAATGTTCATATCTGATTTGCATTTATTTTTTCTCAATCATATTTTCTGAAAATGTGTATGTAAAATTAATAAAAATTATATTACCCTTTTAAACGTTGTGAATATTTATATACCAGCAAATTCTTGAGAATTTTTAAATAAAATAATATTCATTATATATTTCGAAACTAAATAATCGGACAATGAAATTTTTGCCTATAATTAAAAGGTATATTACATGTTTGTGATGCTTCATGAATTGTGTATTTCTCTTGTATTATTATTAGAGATTAGCGTTGATCAATATATAATTAAGCTCTTTAAAAAGACAGTCATATTATTTATTTTTTTAACATTGTATGGTGGGGATATTGTTACGTAGCTAGCTCTCCGACGTTCGGTTAATGGGGCGGTATTAGCAACGAAATTGCTGTTAAATACATTATTTGTCTTAGACAAAAACGATTAATATTCTTCGCTGTCAACTAAAAAGAGCCCTGACCGTTTGTGCCTGCGCAGTAGGCGGTTAATAGATCTATTATATATATGGTAACGAGTGAGGGGGTAGTGTTATCTGGCATATGTCATTTATGTACATTAAACTAAAATACATACCCTCTACTGTCACCCAGAGCTCTTTCTATTTGACGGCTTTTATAAGATTTATTTAGAAATTGATAGATACATTACCAAAAATGCTTTAGTTTCTTGGTAAGCGCCGACCACCCCATTACCGCTGCATGTCAAATTTATTAATATTATCACATTCAAAGCGAATGTGATGGATTACAACGTGAAATATTGAAGCTTATTCAGGGATAAATAATTATTCGAATAAACGCTTTTCCGAAAGGTCTATAGGTAATAAACAAACGGTATTACAAACATTTCAATGAATAGATTGCCAAAGTATTAAACTCTACAGTGTAAAGATTATATCAGTTGTACTTTCTATTTAAATATAATCGAAGGTAGTAATAGCTTACAACTGAGTGGCCTAGTATCTGAGAAAAAAATGACACGAAATTTATTTAAAAAATATATATCCATTAGATTATATAGTGAGACGCTCGCCTATCTTATATAATAACTGCTTTACCCATTCCTCTTCCAAAAACTAAATTATATATGTAATAGTTCAATATATCTGATTTATAATAATTATTCGCATACGCAATCCAAGAAATTACGATTATTGTTAAAATATGAGTGTTGCCATATTTTCTTAAGTCATCATTGTACAAATTGGATATTGTAAGATCATTTGTTATCTGTCAACAGTTGAATATTACTAAAATAAAATCAAATCAAATGAGTTGTTTTGTTTTCTTTTATCATACTTTTTCAGGGAAACGTTTACTGCGTGTGTTTCTTAGAGATGACAACTGAGATTGCTTTTCGAAATAATCCGTAATTCCCGAGTCTGCCTCAAGCGTTTGTTGTTTTTGAGATATACAATAAGTAATGGTACGTAATAATAGAATCATACATATGCCTGTATAAATGTATTCTGATAATTAGCGTTGAAGAGACTGCTCCGATTTGCGCGCGTATCCGAACACGCAAGAACGCTCTAAGCAACTGTTCACACGCTCTAATGCCGTTTCCACCAAGCGAACGAACATTCATAGAATATTTGCGAACGCAAATAGAACATCGTAAGAATGCTCTAATGGCCAGTTGCACAAACGTACATTAAATTTTTCATTACTTTAAAGCGACGTTGCCCATACAAATTTGACATTAATTAGAGCTTAAAGGCGTCATTAAACCTTAACGGACGTTTGTGCAACGGATCTGTTAATATTAAAAAAA